CCCTTCCTTGCACAGTCCCCAGTGAACCAGCCTCCTGCCTGAACTGTTTCCACTAAATTATCTATGTGCTTGTGCCCTTAATAAACTCTTTGGACTTTTACCCGAGTCTCCGTGTGTGTTCTGCATCTTGGGCTTACTCTCTTTGAAACCCATCATGACACTACTTGCTTTGATTCTGTTTTATTTTCCTGTATTTTAATCATGTAAAGCACTTTGCATTGTCTTTGTACTGAATTGTGCTATACAAATAAATTTGCCTTGCCTTGCCTTGCCTCTCTCCGTCAAAGGGCGTTAAATAAATTTGAACATTATTTCTTGCAAAAAATGCTTCCGCCTCAGTTTCCTAACTTCACAAAGTCAAAGAAAATCCCCATATGAATAGAGAGACACGATTGTGTGTGGAGTATCAACTAGATTTATCTTTAATTGTTAAACAAAGAGAAATGACTTAATGATTTTACCCTGAACTGTTGCTGCTGTTTCATTGTGATTCTTTCTCTGACCAGGAAAAGTTCACTCAGTCACTGTTCAGCTAGTTTCCCTATAAACCTCACACTCACACAGCAGCCCTGCTTAGAGAAACTAGCAGAGGTGAGCTGCAGCAATGGCTGCTTCAGGGGGAAAGATGGTGATTCCAGAGTGGAGGTACAGACACTATTTTACTTTCCATTAGATACATCCACATAGCATGAAAAGAAGGAAAGCAGCCCTGGCATAGATGATTTAAAGGCTGTTATAATCATGACACTATTGCAGGTGAGGTTGACAACATTCACTAATTCTAGGATATATCCCACAAAATACCATTGACAATGGCAATAAATTCATCAAAGCTCTAAAATGTCCCAGCCCGTGGAGGATGAAGTGACTTTTAATAACATTGATGATGTCTATTAAAACTGTGATTATGATTTATCTAAAAAATAATAATTCAGAAAGATGTATTTCTGGTTTTATCAGTCAGAACTCTCATCCTTAACTCTCCATCTGATGATCACCACAGTATGTATAAAGGTGACTGAAATAACAAAATGATAACAGGAGCTCAAAATAAACCACACACATATTCATATATACATATTTACTGAATACTCAGGAGTCCTACTGTACCTCGATCTGTTATAGTTATGTCAGAAGTTGTTTTCCTCTCAACTGTTTGCTTTGGGTCCTTGTTTCCAGTGGTGGCTTCATATGTTCAGTTTCCAGGAAAAATAAAAAACAGACAAAAGATTCTAAATATGTTGTTAAGAAATGTAGCACAATGTTTTCCAAAATGCAAAGGTTTGACTTATAACTAAAGTTTTATCAGACGTTTGTTTTTTTTATTCTTATTTTGTCTTTGTTCCCCCATTTTACTTGGACCTAATTGATTACTTTTTAATGGGTGCTTGATGTTTTATAGAGGCACAAAATTAAATAAGAGCCAGAAAAAATTCCCTAAATAGGTAGATTATAATAAATATCATATAAACATTAGGACAATTACTACCTTGAAAGGTTATTGAATCATTCTCTATTTCTTGTCTGGTTGTCTTTGAGTTTTTGTTTCCAGGTTTGTTTGTTGGTTGAACATTTCCTCCTAAGTTTTCTGGAAACAAGAACAAAGTGTCAGAAACCAAAACTGTTGATATGTAAGTCTTTAAAACTCTTTCAATGTATTAGACAGATTAAATAACTATATCAGTTGATTTTAGTCATTAAAAACGATTAATTAGTCAAGAGTTCAGTTGTTTCCTAATATCGAAGCTAATCTCGATGAAGATGGAAATAGTAAAAGACAAAAATCAGACAAATTACATCCATCAATGTTATCTGTTCCCCATATTGCTGCATAAAATATTTTGACTTTAAAGTGCTTCAATAATTAATTGAATGTTAAAACTCACCGTTAAGAACAGACAGATCTAAAACAGACTGATGAACTTTAGTGTATCTTTCCTTGTTCTCTTCTTCCCATTGTTGACAGTCATAACGTCCAGCGTCTTCCTCTCTGACCTTCTTTATCACCAGAGAACAGTCTGCTGTTAGACTCAGTCTGTCTGCTTTAGTGATGTCATTCTTAATCTGACCCAGGTCAACCAGTGTTACTGCTACTCTGTTTCCTGAACCACTGAAGATCCATGTAGTGCTGCTACACTTCTGTTGACCATCGATCACGGTTGAACATTTCAATGTGACTTCATCTCCAGCTCTCTTTAAAACAGATGTTTGATCTGCAGCAACTGTTAGAAGATAAAACAGAAATATTCAATCTGAACACAGACACAGTGGATAAAACAGATCTATCATTTATAGCTCTATACAAAGGTTTTCAGTCTCCTACCTGTGAGCTGCAGGATCATTAATAAAAACCCTTGAATCCATCTGAGTTGAGCCATCGTGCGTCTGTTGCTCTCACCCTCAGAACTGTTTGACTGCTAGTCTACTCTTCTACTTCCTGAGACTCACCACTTCCTCACTCTGACTAATGGGCGACTCGCTGCTTTATGTGGTAAAAACATCTATTTGCTTTAACTGACTACTTAGGACAAAATAACTTTTTTGATATAATCTATTCATTTCCAGTTAATATTTTAAAACAAGGCATCAACAATATTGAATATTAACATTATTGTTCCTTTTTTTGGTCTCGCTATATGACATCACAGACAGTGACATGCAAGAAGTCTTCATAAGAGGAAGAAGATCAGACTGTGAATATTTTTAGATTAAATACATCATGTGAAAAAAAAACACTTCCTTTTTTTATTGTTTCAGAATCCTAAAAATTCAATTTAGATTAAACAAGAAGATCAGATTTATGTTGATGCAGAGTATCAGTTTGAAATAAGTTTTCAGATCCATCACACTGCTAATACAGTATTTTACTTTTTAAAACCTGCTGGTTTCAAGTTTAACTTCTGAAGTATTTTTCTATGAACTGATGAGGAAGTGATTGATGAGAATGTGGTGAACAGCAGCAGCAGAGCTCTGGAGGTTTTAACCCACAATGCACAGAGAAATATACGTAGTTAACACATTGATGGGTGACATTAATAGACGCATCAACACAGTTTGGTTCAAACCTGCAGTTAGATTATAAAACAGACCAGTTTTATTCGTTAATGGGTATTACTCTAACCTTTTCTGCAAGGTGAATTCACAATGCATCTTTTCCCACTCATGCTTCAGTTAATAGAAACCGACCCACAATAGGTAGGTGAATCACTTTGCGGTATTGTGACTAAAGGGTGGGAAATATCTGTGATGAAAACGAGCTGCTGAGCCCACAGCTGAACTAAAATAAGCATGGCAGCACAGGACGTACACAGTTGCTGCTGTCACGAATGTTTTCTTAGAATCCATGAGATCATCTTTGAAAGAGGCACCACAAGAGCAAAAAAGCAGAAGCTTCTGTTAATTCTAGTGGCCTCTGTCACTACCCGATCCGTACCGGAAACACAATCCGTATCATCGGCTCATTTGCGCATGTGCAAGAGGATATTCATCCAGGTTCCCAAAAATAATGTGATTATTGCACTAAAAGTACTTTTTATGCTTAAATCACTAAAGAATGCTAATACAAATCTCTAAAACAGCTTTTATGAATTTTCTAAGACAATTTGATGGTTTCTCCATTTTCCCTGTGAAACCATGTGTAGCTTTTTTTAAGCGATTTCTTTCTTTAGATTACAGACTATATACCATAACGTTAACACAAAATGAGAAAATAAAACAAAAAAAGATTTAATTCATGTTTAAATCCAAAGCCGAAAAAGTTAGCACCTCGAAGTAGCGTAGGATCCCATTTCCGGCAGAGACGAGTGATAAAAAACAGAAAGGATTTACATTTAAGACATTATAGTTTAGTATACTTACTATCTTTTAAGGAGGGAGAAACAGAATTTAGTTCATTTTTTAAATCTAAATTGAGGGTGTCCCGGATGTTCGTCTGCTTGTACATGTGCAAAGGAGCTGATGGTATGGATCGTGCTTCCGTTACGGATCGGGTAGTGACAGCCTCTGCTGCTATTTCATTTGTTACCTTGTTTGGCTCAAACCAAACTTTAGTAGGCGGGAACTAGGTGCTGCTTTGCCCAATCAACTTGGAAGGTTCTGCTGAATGGTCCTCATTTCCCTGAATAGACACAATCTAAGGAATCCCATTTTGATAATACCTAGATCTGACATGAGTGCTACACAACATTTAGATTCTAAACTTAGAAAATTGAAATGATTAAATTTCAGCAATACGAAAAGATCTGCTGTCACATACTGTTTAAAGTGGAGGATCCTTTTTGGTACCTCATGAAAGGAACATGTCATATCAAGAACAAAGTCAGAAAGTTTCTCCCTTCATGACCCTTCTTCAACCTGGGGATGCTTGATGATCTAATATATTGAATTTAGAAGAGTCTAAAGTCAAAGATGCTCATCGAAATCAGCTGAAGCATTTCCGATGTCACCAACCACTGGACAACAAGTTCAGCACTGGAAGCCTGTGGAGGTCTCACCACCCATCCTGGAGGATTCCTCCGCCCACGTCAAAGCCTACAGGATTTTTTTCCTGCTGAAACTGGTCATGGCACTGACTCTTCCTGGCTACCGCCTCCTGTGCCAGCTAATTGCAAAATGCATAGGTGGTACAGAGCAGAGCACCAGACCGGTATGGTGAGTGGATCATGTGAACTGTTTCAACACCATACAGTTCTAAGTGGGATTGGAGACTTAGTTCAAGGTTCAAGTTGCTCTGGGTCCTGCAATGTTGTTTGAAATGTCCAATAGTAAAAGAATGAGGAAAGTGGTACTCTTCATTTTCTGTGTTCAATTGTTTGTGTATGTAAAAAAAAAGGTTGAAAAGTTAATGGGTCTATTTACATTCCATGTTGCAATCATTCTCCTTGGTGTGTAAGGTTGATCTGTGGCAAATGGACAAATGGACCCTGAATTCAGACAGACAGGAGAGGTTAATTCAAAGGGAAAATGTTTTATTGAAAGCTCAGGATTATGCAACTCATCAGCTAGGACTGGCTTGCTGGCTTCTCTGTTGAGACAGACACTCAGGTTAGTGATCACTAGGCTCAGATGGGCAATAATAAAGAGCATGTGAATAACTAACATAGTTATGAGTTCAGTCTGTGTCCAGAGGAAGGAGTGGAAGCCAATCAGATGACTTCTCCAAAACATGCGGCGAGAGCCGCCCAGAGAGTTCCTGGAGCGGGGGCAGAGAAGCCAGCAGGTGCTGAAAACCAGGAGGGTCCAGAGACAGAATCCAGAGCAGGTAATGAAGCCGGGGTCCAGGCCAGAAGATAAGAGAGTTGCAAAGGTACCAAGGGAATAATCCAACCAGGGGTCAGGGGACAGATCCAAGGTTATTAACAGGCACAGTAAAAACAGCAGTCCAATAACAGGAGCAGACCAAAACTCAGGAATCCAGGGGAAAAACAGGTCAGGATCAGGTAGTCAAATAACACAGGTACGCTGGATTCTTCTCACTTTAAGATAGAATAATCTGGTCCTGGTGGCTGGAAGACAGGCAACATAAATAGGAGCTGTAAACAGGCGGATCAGATAAGTGGTAATGAGCAACAATGCAGAGTTAAACAGGTAAATATAATGAACAATCAAGCCAGCCACCTGTGCCAAGATCTTGACAGTCACTCTCAATAAAGTCAGACTCACAGCTGTGTAACGTGCCTGAATTGTATGTAGGGGGTACAAACATGAATGGGACTTCTTTCCCTTTCCAACAGAAAGAGAAAGACGTTGTCCCTATGGCAACACAGTGAAGCCTCGTGTGTGGCCGTAGCTCTGTGGCGGAAATTAACCTAACATCGAACATTTGCCCATTTCTTGAAAATGTATGTATGCCATTTAGAGTGATCATTATGCGACATATCAATAAATTACTAAGGTGTATATAAGAATCTGGTATACTGTCATTAATATTACAATTCTGAGAGGCTTAAAGAGGATGCTTGTGTAGGTGAAAAGGAAATATTAATGAAAAGTAAAAAAAAAAAAGTATTGGCTCCCTGTAGGGCCGAAACATGTAATCAGATTAATCGTGATCAATCGATTATTGAAATAATTGTCTACTAATTTAGTAATCGATTCATAGTTAGCAAGAGTGTAGAGGCTCTCAGATGTGCCTTTAGCTGACAGAGGAACCGACTTTGTGAAGTAATTCTACTAGTATACTACTAATTATACTAAGATTATAAGATAAAAATAACTTTTTTGATTGTTAATATGCTCTATCCAGAACTCCTCAACTGGAAAGTTTTAGTTTTACCTGGTTTCATTTTGCAAGAAATCTACTTTAAAGAACCTTTGGCTATTCGATTATTAATCAACTAATTAAAAAAAATAGTAAACAGATTAATTAATTTGCAAAAAAATCATTAGTTGCAGCCATAGTTCCCAGTATTTGTCTTTTTCAATAAATGTTGGTGTTCAAAAAAATGACCACTGAGATTAATCTTTTAAAGTGCAGAATACAGCTGCTATACAGGATAACATGTATGGACTCAAATGTTAAAAAAATTTATAACAGGTAACATTCATAATAAAAAAAAAAGCCTAATGTTTTATCTAAACAACAAAAGAAATTGTAAAAGAAAACACATTTAACCTCTCAAAAACGATGTTTTAAGCTTTTTAAAAAAAAAGAGTTTCAGTGTTTTGGGTACTTCTGTAGGACTGGTGATGTTTTACAGTATGATACACCTTGCACAGCTCTGTAGAAGTTATTTTAACATTCAGGGGACGATGAAACTGAAAGAAAAAAACCCTCATTGATGAGGTACCTGCCGCATACAGGTGCTGGTCATAAAATTAGAATATCATGAAAAAGTAGATTGATTTCAGTAATTCCATTTAAAAAGTGAAACTTGTATATTATATTCATACATTACATACAAACTCATATATTTCAGATGTTTATTTTGTTTAATTTTGACGATTACAAATGACAACAAATGAAAATCTCAAATTCATCATATCAGAAAATTAGAATATTACTGAAGACCAATAAAAACAAAGGATTTATAGAAATGTTGGCCAACTGAAAAGTATGAACATGAAAAGTATGAGCATGTACAGCACTCAGTATTTAGTTGGGCCTCCTTTGGCCTGTATTACTGCAGCAATGCGGCGTGGCATGGAGTCGATCAGTCTGTGGCACTGCTCAGGTGTTATGATAGCCCAGGTTGCTCTAATAGTGGCTTTTAGCTCTTCTGAATTGTTGGGTCTGGTGTATTGCATCTTCTTCTTCACAATACCCCATAGATTTTCTATGGGGTTAAGGTCAGGAGAGTTTGCTGGCCAATTAAGAACAGGGATACCATGGTCCTTCAACCAGGTACTGGTAGCTTTGGCACTGTGTGCAGGTGCCAAGTCCTGTTGGAAAATGAAATCTGCATCTCCAAAAAGTTGGTCAGCTGCAGGAAGCATGAAGTGCTCTAAAACTTCCTGGTATGTGGCTGCGTTGACCCTGGACCTCAGAAAACACAATGGACCAACACCAGCAGATGACATGGCACCCCAAACCATCACTGACTGTGGAAACTTTACACTGGACTTCAAGCAACGTGGATGGAGTGCCTCTCTTCTTTTCCTCCAGACTCTGGGACCTTGATTTCCAAAGGAAATGCAAAATTTACTTTCATCAGAGAACATGACTTTGGACCACTCACCAGCAGTCCAGTCCTGTTTCTCTTTAGCCCAGGCAAGACGCTTCTGACGCTGTCTGTGGTTCAAGAGTGGCTTGACACAAGGAATGCGACAGCAGAAACCCATGTCTTTCATACGTCTGTGTGTGGTGGTTCTTGAAGCACTCACTCCAGCTGCAGTCCACTCTTTGTGAATCTCCCCCACATTTTTGAATGGGTTTTGTTTCACAATCCTCTCCAGGGTGCGGTTATCTCTCTTGCTTGTACACTTTTTTCGACCACATCTTTTCCTTCCCTTCGCCTCTCTATTAATGTGCTTGGACACTGAGCTCTGTGAACAGCCAGCCTCTTTAGCGATGACCTTTTGTGTCTTGCCCTCCTTGTGCAAGGTGTCGATGGTCGTCTTTTGGACAACTGTCAAGTCAGCAGTCTTCCCCATGATTGTGTAGCCTATAGAACTAGACTGAAAGACCATTTAAAGGCTTTTGCAGGTGGTTTGAGTTAATTAGCTGATTAGAGTGTGGCACCAGGGGCCATCAATTTTGAACCTTTTCACAATATTCTAATTTTCTGATATGATGAATTTGAGATTTTCATTTGTTGTCATTTGTAATCATCAAAATTAAACAAAATAAACATCTGAAATATATGAGTTTGTATGTAATGTATGAATATAATATACAAGTTTCACTTTTTAAATGGAATTACTGAAATCAGTCTACTTTTTCATGATATTCTAATTTTATGACCAGCACCTGTATTTATTCATTTTATATTAATCTTTACTCGCATGATGTTCAATTCATGGTCTTTTGTCTATTCAGAAGGTATGGACAAAAGAGGTCTTGCATTTTGGCATGATGCTAACTTTCTGTGAATGTATAACTTAGCAGCGCTTTGATTCTTGTTATAGTATATAACAAGAATCAAAGTATAGTTATAGTATGTAAGTATACTTTGATTCTTGTTATATACTATTACTATACTATAACCAATACTAACCATACTATAACTTTAACCAATGACAAGCAGATATTTATCTAAAGAGGCACCACTCTTAGCCATTCATCTGTTAGACCAGATAGTCTATATATATAAATATATATATATATATATATATATATATATATATATATATATATATATATATATATATATATATATATATATATATATATATATATATATATATATATATATATATATATATATATATTGTGCTGGAGCTCTTTTTTATGTTGTTGTTTCTCCAGGCCCTTAGGGGGCGCATGTTTGCATAGTTCGCTAGGTTGAGCCAGTGGATGAGTAGAAGGTGTGTTACAGGAAGTTACTGCCATGAGTCAGGCATGAGTATGGTTTGGATTTCATCTGCATCCATCCGCTCCTTTCCATCCCTTTGAGTGGCAATATGAGTAAGGGACAAAATTGTTTATGGTTGCTAGATACTATATGTCTGATTATTTTTGTAAATTTGAGACGTTTGATATGTTGTTTGCTTTAATACGCTGGAGTTAGATTAGAGTGGATGTTATGCTACAGCTAAGTTTAAGTTACCTTTTAAATGCATGTTTTACACAAAGGAAACGTTTATTTTATTCATTCTGATGTTTTGTTTGTGTAGTAATATTTTTATGTATTCTGTATCGTTTCAGTTTGCATTAAATCCTGTTCAAATACAACACACGCCTGTTCCTTGGAGGAAGTGATGCAGGAAAGAGTTTAGCTGGGTGGGGGGGCATTGGCAAGATAGGTTTTTAGTGTTTCGTAGTGTTCCTGTTTTACTGATCATGTTCTGTCTCTTATCCACTGAGCGTGCCCTGTTCCTGTCTCGGCTCAGTGGAGTGAACAAGTTTTTAGAGTAACGTAGTTGCTTGCCTTTCCCCATCGGAATGTTCTGCCAGAACTCTCTTTTGGACTCCTGGAAACCTGGACCAGCCTGTTCCTGTTCTAACCCGTTTCCTGACTGGGCTTCGGATCCTTCATGTTCTGATCTGTTTCTCCGACATGGCTTGGACTCATGCCTGCCCTTTGGGACTGCAGCATCTGGTCGGGGCCTCCGCATTTAGTTGGCAACCCTCTGGCTAGATCCTAATGGACTTAACTATTAAACCAGGTAAGTGACACTTATGAATAATCATCATCCATCAGATTATCATGGTCACATGGTTTATTCTCCTACCAGAGATTTACAGTGATGGGGGGTGCCCAGCGGTAGCATTTGTGGATCCTCAGATCCAATCTTGTTTTTGAAATGAATGCCTTTGAATTTTCACTGTCTGTCTCGCCTGAATTCTGGGTCCTAGGTCTTGAGCTTATGACCAATAGTGAGAGTGTTTATAATAACAGCAGACAGCCCAAATTGACAAGACAAAGGTACATAGATGCGGAGTACATCAGGATTAACACCAAACCTATAAGGGTAGTTGATAGATCAGAATACGTTTTTACAACTGCAACTGTTTGGGCTTCAGATACTATAAACTATATTGGGCTTACTGCCCATTAAATACACAAAGACAGCATGAAAAGAAGGAACCTGTGGAGGAGGATAAATCTGATGAGAAGGAGGCGACTTTTACGAACATTAATGATTTATCTCAAAGACAGATAATTTTGAAGGGTATATTTCCAGTTGTATTAATCAATACTCTTATCCTTAACTCTCCATCTGAAGATCAGCCCAATTGTTATCAGGATAATGACTTAAACAGCTATAGAAAAGATTGTGGGGGTGAAAACAAACCACACTTGTGTATATATATTCATTTACAGCAGTAATGGGGTGCTACCTTCATTTACAGAAGTTTTTTCAGGAGTGGTCTTGCATTCAACAGTTTGCTTTAAGTCCTTGTTTCCGGTGGTTGCTTCATTTGTTGAAGTTCCAAGAAAACAAAAAATTAAGAAAGGTTTCTATATATATTTTAGAGAAATGCAAAACAACTTATTCTCAAAGTCAAGATTATATTAATAAATAAAATTTCATCTAAGTTTTTGAGACTTTATGCTTATTTTTTTCTCATTTGCGAGAAAATGAATTGCTTAAAGAGGTGCTTCAGGTACATCGAGGAAATAAATTCAAAACATTCCCAAAAATATGCTAAAATTGGCAGGTCAAACTACTTCATATCAAGATACTGTTAAACTAATAAATATATTCAGGACATTAAAACATTTTACCTTGAAAGGTCGTTGAAACATTTTCTTTTTCTGGTCTGGTTGTCTTTGAGTTTTTGTTTCCAGGGTTGTTTGTTGGTTGAACTTTTCCTCCTGATTTTTCTACAAACAAGAAAATCTCAGAGTGAAAACACTATTTATATTTCAGTCTTTGAAAGCCTTCCAAATAAAAAAAAGGTTAAAAAATGATTGATTTACAACAATCAATTTATAAAAAAAATATATCAGTGATCTCCAGTTCATCATCTTCTAACCTGTTTCTCACCTGAGGACTGAAGACTGAAGGTAAACTCTTCATCAGTAACAGTATCAGTCACTTTACACTGAGGTAACTCAGACCCTGATGATAAAGAGACAGTAGCAGAGCAGCCAGTCTCTAATGGTGGTTCTTTGTTGCCCACATCCTGATTAAACCACTTCACTTTGTATCTACAGAGGTCAGAGGTCACCACAGAGCAGCTTAATGTCACCCTCTGATTCTCCTTCTGTTTAATCACTGATAATGAAAAAAACAATAAAACATTAAACCACACAAATGACCTCCATCACAGTAATATTTTTAACATATTGCTGCTAAAAACACGTAAACTTGAAAGTGCATCAATATCTATTTAACAAACGTTAAAACTCACAGTTAAGAACAGACAGATCTACAGCAGTCTCATAAACCGATTTGTCTGCCCCTCTATATTTCCATTGTTGACAGTAATAACGTCCAGCATCTTCCTCTCTGACCTTCTTTATAACCAGAGAACAGTCTGCTGTTAGACTCAGTCTGTCTGCTTTAGTGATGTCATTATTAATCTGACCGAGTTCAACCAGCTCTATTAATGCTCTGTTTCTTGAATCATCGAAGGTCCATGTAGTGCTGCTACACTTCTGCTGACCATCAATCACTGTTGAACATTTCAATGTGACTTCATCTCCAGCTCTCTTTAAAACAGATGTTAGATCTGCAGCGACTGTTAGAAGACAAAACAGAACCAGAAATATTCAAACTGAACACAGACACAGTGGATAAAGCAGATCTATCATTTATAGCTCTATGCAAAGGTTTTCAGTCTTCCTACCTGTGAGCTGCAGGATCATTAATAAAAACCCTTGAATCCATCTGAGTTGAGCCATCGTGCATCTGTTGCTCTCACCCTCAGAACTGTCTGACTGCCTGCTGAGCACACATGTAGCTTCTACTTCCTGAGACTCACCACGTCCTCACTCTGACTGATGGTCGACTCGCTGCTTTATTTGGTAAAAACATCTATTTGTTTTAACTGAGGATGAACAAATAAATAACTCATAATTTAATTAATTTCATATATCTGTCATACTTGTAAGATTATATTTTACTCTTTAAAACCTGTTTGTTTCCAGTTTAACTTCTGAAGCGTTTTTGTAAAAACTCAAAAGGAAGTGATTAATGAGGATGTGGTGAACAGCAGCAGCAGAGCTCTGGAGGTTTTACCCACACTGACCAGAGAAATATACGTAGTTAACACATTGATGGGTGAAATTAACAGACACATGAACTCAGTGGGTTTCAAAGCCAATTATAATACATATGCAGGAAAAGGAAGCTGTTCATAGGTATTTCTCTAACCTTGCCTGTAAGCAAGAGGTTGGCTAATCACTTTGCAGTACAGTAAACATATGCTATATTGCGGTGCACTATTCATGGTCTCGCTGCTTCTCGAAATTGCATTCATAAATCTGATTGGCTAAATAGTATCCACGCTTTTCTCTATCTGTGTGTCAATAATGTTACGGTTTAATATTTTAATATACATGTACATAAAACGGTCTGCTTAGTGGAACAGTGGGTAGCACTGCTGCCTTGCAACAAGAAGGTTCCAGGTTTGATTCCCGGCTCGGGGTCTTTCTGCATGGAACTTGCATGTGTTTGCATGCTCTTGAGCATGCGTGGGTTCTCTCTGGGTACTCCAGCTTCCTCCCACAGTCCAAAAACATGACTGTTACATTAATTGGCTTTTCTAAATTCTCCTTAGTAAGTGTGAGTGACTGTTCTTCCTGTTTGTCTCTGTGTTGCCCTGCGATAGACTGGCGACCTGTCCAGGGTGGACCTCGCCTCTCGCCCGCAGACAGCTGGAGATAGGCACCAGCACCCCTCACGACCCCACTTGGGATAAGCGTGCAGGAAAATGGATGGATGGATAAACATGAGCCAGCTTGCCAAATTTAAGTTTGCAAATTTTCTCCACAACCCATAGTGTTGATAAAATGTGGACCGGCCAAAAAGGCAGAGGAAGATGTAGAATGGTAGAAGCTATGCGGGTAAGGGGTCACCCTTATCGAATTAATGACTCTTCCGTTTGTTCCATAAAGAGGAGGAAAATAACAAGGACAGCAGCAATAAGTTTTAATAAGAATGCAAAAAAGGGCTGCAACTGACCGCAATAAGACAGACTGACAGTTTCTGAATTCACAAGAATGCAAGAATGGTTCTTGCTAAATATGTGCTTGACAAGAACATGTGAAAGTATGGACTCAGCAAAAATATGAGGTAATTGGAACAGAAGCATGCTGATGACCACACGCTCGGCTCGCTGGAGCTGCATTTCAACTCCTGTTATTAATAGTTTCTAGATAATTAATGGTTACTTTTTTCATTTGGTGGGGGGAATATAATTAATGCAGCCAGATAAACAAAAACTAAATGAACATTTTGCTATACAAAAAAATCACCATTAGAGCTAATGGTCTTTCACACACGGCTATGCCAAGAGAGGGCTGCTCTAAAGGGCTGGCCCTGGATGCGGTGAGACGCAGAGGTCTGCTGGTTGCCACAGTCCTCTCAACATCTGAACTTTTCTTTAAATTACGCCCTAAATTAGTAAATGGGCCATATAGTGACGCTTAAAAGTATAATGTTCTCACCTCAAATTTTCTTATCTTATTATCTTTATAGAACAACAGAAAAGAAAACTTTTAACTTAATACTCTGAGCTCTGTGAGCGCTGCACAGGGGGCTGCCACGGTGCATACTGTTACAGCTGACAATCTCGAGAATGGACAGCTTTGCTCTGATGCATACCAAAAAAGTAAAAAAAAACAATATACTGGACTTTCTTTCCAAGTTTGAAGACGTTTCGCTTTCCATCCAGGCGGCTTTTTCAATTCAAATGTCAGAATTAGCATTAAGTTTGTGGCTTTACAGAGTGGACCAAAACAATGCCTTGTTTTGGCTTACAAAACATGCAAATGGAACCGGAAGAACGGGTCCAGGAATGGGGAGATTAGCGTTGGGGAATGGGGAGAGATTAGTATTGTTTTCGAGATACTCAACGCTAATGTCTCCCCACTCTCTCCCGATTGAAAAAGCTTCCTGGATGGGAAGCGAAACATCTTCAAACTTGGAAACACAGTCCAGTGGATTGTGTTTACTTTTTTTGAAGGACTATGACCTGGATGACTGAGAATCTTCACCAGCACTCTGATGCATACTTGGTAAAGAGGAAGGGGCGAGCACAACATCCTGGAACTTTGTCCGTTCTCAGTCTTGTGTGCTTGTGAATTAGAACAGTACTAGGGCTGAGGAGCAAATAACGCACAAGTACACATATTATGATGGAGTCTGCATTAACTTTATGGATTAATGACTGCTGAAAAACCCCCCAAAAACATTACGTTGTATACAATCATTATCTGCACAAAAGACTGAACACTGTATTAAACCATTGCTGACAGCGATGACATTCATAACAGGGAAGAGGAGGAGAATGCCGACCTCTTCCCTGTTATGAATGAGTAGGTGAGGATGGTAGGAGAGGATACTACCTCTCCTGACAGGAGAGGTAGCTGCATCCTCGGGGCACCCATTTCCGGACCCCTTTTTCTTGAATTTATTTTATTATTTGTTTGTTTTGTGTTTTATTTATTTATTTTTTTGCCTGCCCCTTTTCGTTATGGAGGGATCTGGGGATCTCCTCCTGGATCTGTGGGTCTCTTCCACCTAAAGGTACTGGCCCTATGTATGAGAACTGTAAAAATATGTTTAGTGTCTGTCTCTGTGTGCTTAACCATTGTGTGCTTGTATATGTACATATTGGTCTAAGGGTGGGATAATGTGAATGTGAAAGATTCCTGTGTCTGCTGGTGTGCTGACGGTTCTCCGGGTGTGGGGTTGGGTATTTCAGTGGGTGCTGTCTCATTCCAGGTGGCTGCTGAGCCAGACCTGAGCCTCCTGGGAGTGTTGCGTCATGGACCTCGGGCAGCGGGGCTTTCATCCGTATCCACCTTGGGTGTTACTTTCCGCTGGCAGAGCCCATGGGCTTACTGCCATGGCCCCTTGAGGACCTGGCACTATTACCTCTGGGGTCGGCCCTCCTACGGGGACTGGGCCCCTTTTGGGGTTTGGGCACCAAACTCCAAAACTCTCATCTGCCCTTCTCTGGTGGGTGCGTCTATCCCTATGTCTGCCCTCCTTGTGTCCCAGTGATCTCGGGTGCCTCTTGACAATGGGGCTCTTTCTTTAACTCTTTTTCTATCCAGGGCCTTGTAGGGCTAGTCTGGGGATGACCACACACACTATTAAACATACGTTCCCTCTAAAGCAGCTTGGTGAATCCTTTATACATTAGCCTGCTCCTGCATTTAGTTCCAGGTATTCAAGGATATACACTGATCCTAAATACTAAGGTAGAGCTACAGATATATACCACCCTGATTATTAGTGTAATCACCGTAGGTTCTGACTCCGACACAGATGGAAAGGATACTCTCAGCCTCTCGCCTTCATTCTTATCCCCCCTTTGTCTTTCACCTCCCTTTCTGTGTCTTTTGTATATGATTTTACTCCCCAGATAATGTTCAAAAAAGTTTAACAGTACAAGTATCAAGCAGTCATTCTGTTCTGCTTGTGAAAGCAAAGCTGTTGGGCTATTAGCTAGCCCTGGGACATCAATCACCAGAGCTATACTGGCGAAATCGGACAAAAAAGAAAAAAAGAAAAAAAGACATGCTGGTCTGTCATGCTGTTTAACATAAATGTCAGTAAAACCTGATGTTATCCAGTGAAAAGTGTCTTGAACAACTGAATGCAAAAGTGAGCTGTGTGGTCTTGTTCACGTTTATTACTTTAAAACAGGTCCATTGAGTTCACCGTTCACTAAAATGTGAACGTATTCAGTAAACAGCGTTCACGCACACGCACATAGATATATATATATGTGTGTGTGTGGATATATGACACCTACTCATTCAAATGGTTTTCTTTATTTTCATGACTATGAAAATGAAAATTGTAGATTCACATTGAAGGCATCAAAACTGTGAATTAACACATGTGGAATTAAGTACTTAAAGGCACACTATGCAACATTTTTCAGTTAATTAATGTGTTCCATAACGTTATGGATGATTAAATGATTCATTTCAGGTTGAACAAAGGTATTCTCGGCCGCCCTGGTGGTCTGTGGGGGAAATACCGCACTTGCAATTGCAGGAGCGCCGACCCGCACCCACAGGCTCAGAAGTCTCGTGAGAGTCAGTCTTGCTTTACGGCGAGAACTGCTACACCCCCCAGTTAAAAGCATTCTCGTTGCTAGCACAGTGGCGATCTTTGTGCAGTTATGCTACTTTCACATCGGACGCAGCAAAATCGCGTCTGCTGCTTCATTTTTGCTGCTTGTACCGGTTAGTTCTGACGCGCGGCTGAAGCAGCTTTGCTGCTCTTGCTGCGCGGTGCAAAAGTGTATCTGACGCGCTTTGGGCGGAGCTTCACTATCCTTTCTCTGCCTTGCAGCTATATTTGCTGTGATCAGTGGGGATAAAGTAGTTTTAATATGTGTTTAAGTGAGAAAATACACCTGAAAACGTAATTAGTGCCGTCAGTTCATTCAGATTATTATCCTGCCTTCAATATTTTTTCTGTCGGAGCCGCTCAGACCCCCACATACCAGCGGTGCGCCGACAGTAGGGATCCCTTCATCAGCAGCCTCTGGCCTGGTCGCCTCCTCGCGGTTCACCGCGGCAGCTGGTAGGTGTTTTTCATCTAAATAATCCAAACTGCATATTCTGCCGGCAGATTTCTGCATTTTAAGTTAATTTAGGCGTCAATAAACTGTTTAAGAGGAGTGATCATCAGCGCTGTGTCTCTCTCCCTGCGTCAGATGCTTAAACGCGCCCGATGCGCTGCTTCAGCTGCTCAGACGTGCTGCGCCTGCTGCTCAGAA